ATCGTTACCGTGTCTAGCATTCCTGGAGTTAGTGCTTATTGAGTGCAGCGTTTGTCTGTGGGCTGATGAAAGAGTTCGGTTGAAAGTAAATCAAAGAGCGCAGAATTCTTCAGGAAGGATTAGCGAGAGAGAATCATTGCCTTCATACGTGTGTAGAACTAGATGAAGGTTATGCTGAGAAACTAGCTTTGCAATTTTCTATTTTTGTTTAATATAGGCTTCTTGATTATGTAGCCCTACTTTTGGAGTTACCCTTGTACATGTGAGCAGATATCCTGGGTCTAAAACAATCATTTTAAGTGCCTTCCTTATAATTACAGTATAGATCAACCCCTCCCCCACCCCACCGTCCCAGTAAAAGGACTCATGTTCTATGGTTGCTCTGAGTTTTGATCATTGGTTGTTTGAATTGACTTTTAAAGACTTAATCATCTCAGGAGTTCTAGCGAATAGACTGGGTTTGTATAATTCTGAGTTGTAATGTTCTCCTAGGTAACCGTTGAGGGAATTACTTTAAAAAGTATGTAAGATATAAACTTAAAATACCATCACCGTTACGTTGAAATGAAGAATTTGCAATATTGTAATTTTGGGACATTTTTGCCTTAAGGGTTTAGAAAAAGAGCAGACAGAAAGAAGCCCCAAATTGGATGAATTAAGTCAAACTGGACAAATCCTTTTGGAGCAAATGAGAAAAGGTAAGATTCTTCATTTATTTGCTGTTTTCTATGGTGTCATTGAATAACATTTGCACTGTGAAAATCAGATACCTCTTTTAACCCATGCAGCAGCTCCCAGCAGAGAGGCCTGGCATTACGCTTCGGTAAAGATTACAGCCAAAGTGCTAGGAGGCAGTTCTCTCTTACATGAGGTTGCTATTAGGGAGAGTCCACTCATTTGTACCCAATAACAGCAGTAGCTCTCTCTTTATTCGATGCAATCAACTCAGTTTTCCCTCTTTATTCGGTGCAATCAACTCAGTACCCAATAACAGCAGTAGCTCTCTCTTTATTCGGTGCAATCAACTCAGTTTTCCCTCATAAGGACCATCCTCACTCAACCCCATGGTTGCAGCCACATTATTAGACCATTTCACTGAAGGTGGTCTTTGTTGTTGACCCTCTACTAAGCACGATACTCTTTCTCGAGAGAGCTAGAGTACTCTCACTGTCCGCTTTTCTAAGGAGGCTCCTGACTACACTTTCCCCCAAACAGATTTGTTTGTTCTTCTGGGAATCCATGCTGTGGATCCTGTGTTCCTCACCAACATCGTCATTCCGAGGCGTCAATGCTGAAGTCTTCTATGTTCTTTGTCCTGATTTCACATGCCTGCTAGTATTCGGCGATTAGAGATAC